TCAGATCCATTAAACTGGTATGTTCTCCACCAGAGGCTGAAGAAATTTTGATTAAATTTATTTGAAGTTAAACTGTTTACTCCTTTTGTTGTTACTACCATACATTATCATAAAAATCAAATATTGGCAAAGGTCTCTGTATGCAGATGCTGTCTTAGCTTCCCAGCAATGCCAAACAATGACACACTAGAATCTTTCAATGTTTCTTTCTTAGAACTTTGAAACCCACATATCCCTTTCTTTTACCTTAGATGCATCTACTACCACATGTTTCTCTATTATGTAAAACCCAAATAAATTACACAGAAATCTGAGGTTTAGATTTGATAAATGAAAACCCCAGTTCTCACATGTTTGTGCCAAGCTTCAAAGCCTGACTTGTTAAGTATGGTGTTGTTCTAGTGAACAAGGCCATGTCTTTACACTCTTGTTTTCTGTCAGTTGCTGGCAGATGTTTTGTTATTCTTAGCACCTGCTGAATGCAGGGTTTTCATTGACCTTTGACCTCTTCAGTTAACTGCAGCATAACCTCACCAGCAATTGTCCTCAACATGAAGTGCACCACTTGATTGCTACCAAACAGTCCACTCTCTTTACTTTCACCATAAGAGGTTTCACTATAGCAGGGTCATGACTTAGCACCCAGCAGTGTTGTGCTTGATGTTTTTACAAAAGTCACCACTCTAAACAGCTTAACCAAATGATAAAAAAATAGGATTCTGAATGTTTCTTTGTCGCCGTGGCCTGCATACACAGATGGTTGCAGAGCTGAAGCTGTCATGCAGAATCAACTGGTTTAAATGAGCAAAGACGGTGGTTCCTGTTAGCTACTGGACAGGTGACAATTTCAGAGGTTCTATAAAGGGGTTTTATGAGGAGCACGCAGAAGCATTAAGGGATCTGGCAGCAGCCCTTCCCTCCACATCCTGAGGGCCAGTAGAGCTGTGGTAGCCCGATCTGGAAAACAAGGTGTGCACTGTAAGCTGAATGCACATGGAGGGTGGTGGCTCAGGTTCCCTCTTCAGTAGATGTGTTGCCACAGAGCAGCTCACTGTAAAGAGAAGAGTGGAGGAGGGGAGATGTGTTGCAACGATTAGTCTGCAAAAATATTTTAATCAATAAGACAGGACTAGCCTCATTTAGACAAAATTAAACAACATTTTTTGTAGTTCTGTAATTCATATGGTATCGCTTCACACATTTCATCCTTGAATTTCCAGATGCTCTAACTGTGACATCAATGCACATTGAACCTGATGCAGCATGCACAAGCCTGATCATATCATGCATGAAAGAGAGGTCATGGTAGCAGGATAGAGTCATAGCTTCACATAAATGGAACTGATAAGTGGAAGTCAAAGATCCCACTGGAGAGACGGCCCAGAGATTCTGACTGGTTAAATCGGGGAAGTCCTGAACTAAAGATATATTTTGATTTCGGCCAGTATGATTTCAAAACAGCATAAAGTTCATACTGAGCAAATTGTCAGGCCCAAAGTCTGATGAAAACAGATTTCTGTTAAATCAGATTATCATTGTATCTTGAAGAGAATCTTTTTTTCAATATAGTAGCTATAAATCTGAATTCTGAACTTAACATTTTCCTCTGCTAGAGTATCCAGGTTACTGAAATGTGCATAACCTTATTTTCAGAGTCCAGCAATTTATTTTAGGATTAGGAAATCCCAGATCTTGATTTATCAATATTTTTCCACTCTTCATTGCAAAGGTTTTTCAAATCTATCAGTGAGGGCACCTCTCGTCCACAATCATCTTCAGGAAAGAAATATAGTTCTAGAACTTTCATTTTCTCATGGGAAAATTATTTTCTTGTAGAGAACAATTTGTCTTTATTCTTGGAATTCCTTTGATACTGAAAACATAAAGAATTGGTGTGAAAAATTAAAAATTACTTAAGAAAATTTCATTACCTCAGTCACCTTCAAAAGTTGCAAATGAAGAAAACTACCAGCAATCTTCTTTTAAGGCTGGGCCCATTTATTTAACTTGATTTTTGCAACCCTCTGTTTCTTTATATGTTTTTCTAGGTATAAGATAATGGCACATAAACATGGTGCAAGTTTGTGTGGGCTTTTATTTTAATGGTGTAAAGTTGCCAATATCTGTCTGCTTCTGTCTCCTTGAACCCCAGTCGGCCTCAGCAGATGGCCGCTCACACTGAGCCTGGTTCTGCAGGAGGTTTCTTCCTGTTAAAAGAGAATTTTCCTCTCCACTGTCGCTACAAGCATTCTTTGTGTGAGGGATTTCTTTCAAATCAGTGGCTGAATCCAAAATCAGCCCGTAAACACTGACCCTAACCATTAACCCTCTGTTTGCACATTCCAGCGGAGGGTCCCCTACATTAAGGGCCATCCCAAACCACATATTAGGCAGGGCGAGTGGACCGTTCAGCCCTTAAATAGCGAGTCTGCAACAGTGCAGGTTCGCTGGAATTTGGCGACCTAGTGATGGAGGAAACACGTGCATCCAAATTTGAGTTCCATTGGGTTGCTGCTTCTTCGACACACTGACAGAAAATCTTTAGTTAGGAAAAACAAAAAAAGACATAATTAATCCCTAAATGGAAGATCCTCTTTCAAATAGTTTTATTTGACCGCTTAGATTTATTTTTAAGAAAATGGCAAATGTTTGATGTTATGTTAACCTGCGCCAAAGAGCTACAGCCACACATGCAGAGTCACTCTCTTGCCATTGGAAGGACTGCTTTCCCTTTCTGTTGGTGAGAAGATGACCTCCGATTTATGTTTATACTTCCCACATACAATCCACAGCTGTGAGTGTGACTTTATTGCGAGTGTTAGTGCTTAGGGGGCGCTTTGGGATTCAGCCAATGAGTTGTTGCAATCAGTTGGTTTTCCTTAGATAGAAAACCTTAAACCAATCTGACTGTATGATCTGGTTAAATTGTCTCTGTAAGAGACATGTCATCTCAACCTTGAGATGACGTGTTGTGAATTGGCTTCAATAAACTGAATTGAATTGAAGTGAACTGAAATACAGACTTACAATCAGAAACAGCACGACAAGTTCAGAGAATTTATAGAACTGATTGAAGAAGCAACACAGGTGTGGAGGCATGTAAATAAACAGAACCTCATGACTACTCAAAGCAAAGTCATGGCTTAAGGAATGGAGAAAACAGGTGCAAACAATAGGCCAAGGGACAAAGGGTGAAAGGAATCTGTTAACTGACAAAAGGCTCTGGCTGAGGCAGAAATGAGTATCTGGGATCAACTGGAAAAAATCCAAGAAAAAACTAAGAGAACCCCTTCAATAATTCAAAAATAATCAACAGAGAAAGCAAAGATATAACCAACAAAAAAAACTAAGACATACACTAGAGAAATAAGCTTTTTGTACTTCATAGAAATAGCCTGTTATGTCATTAAGAGATAATAGATAGATAGATAACACTCGAATTGTATCATTCAGATGTTTTTATGATGTGTCTATAAAAAGCTTTGCTCTACGATAAGGACCAAAGAGTTTTCTTTTTTTTCTTTTCGTTTGTTTTAAAAAGAAATACTTGTTTCTATTTAGCCAAGCTAATAAACCAATTGACTTGATGTTTGAGCCACTATGTACCATGAAATTAAAGCTTAGTAAAAACAAAAGACAAACACAATATTTTTAATCTGTTAGTGAAAATATTGCTGTAAAACGTTTTAGCTGCATTTGCTGTTAGGTCAAATCATACATCCAGTCATGTTTTGGTAACCCTTTCCTCCAAAGAAAACCAATGATTTAGGCTTGATCTGAAAATCTCAAATCGGTAAGGAGCCATGGTGGAAAGGCTCCCTCGTCACCATAATAACTCCTATCTGAATAGTGCTGTCTGTTAGAAGGACCTAGGACCATAAAGCACTATGCTTCCTGGTGCTGATGCAGATAGCATAGGAACCTCCTGACATTCCTGTCTGCCACTAGAAGCTATACGGTTGCCCACAGTCTTTTGTGAGACAGATAAACACAAATTTAACAAAAACACATTATTTAGTGGCATATAACACATGCTAATGTACAAACTTCATGGGTTTTGGGGTTTATAAAAGAGAACCTCATCATTTGCATAACTTTTGTTTTCTGTTGTTTTTGCAGAAGACTGTTGTCCCAGTTTGACAAACATCATTCATGCATATGTACCCCGTAATAACATCCATAAGGCTGAAGGGTTTCTGGATTTAGCACAGCAGTCCGAAGCTCCTTTTCTATCTTTAGTGGATAGTGTTCTTGCCTACTATCACATTAAAGTTGAAGGGATAGGAGCTAGGAACAAGAGGTAAGAGCTACAAACTGAGGTTTTCGGAAAGAGCCATAATCTACGAAATCCAGCGTTTTTGATCCTATATTTGAAGTTACACCCCTACAAAATCTTTTTCATTAAAATAATAGCTTTTTTAGTCTTAACCTTTTTAAATTTAGGATATCATAGCAATTTGGAAAATATTATATTGCACAAAGGTTTTGATAAAAACTTAAATCAATATATTTCACTAAAAAAGTTAACATAAAGGACATGATTACGATCTGAAATGTTATATTGCTAGGGGGCCTTCCAGGGGATTAGTTCTTTAAAGGAAAAATACTTATGAATACAGAAGAAACAGCAGATCCAGCAAAGAAAGGTTTGGGATTTGGGTCAGATATTTTGCTGTCTTTAAGGTTTGGTTAATCCTGGTACTTTGGCTAATTAAAACTAAATGAAATGACTGTATTAGGCTTATTGGATATATTGCTACTGACAGGATTTCCATCAAAAATCCTTATTTTCTTGGTTGTAGGAAATAAATAGGATTACCTGTGCAGACGCTGGAGCCAGAGAGCAGTCAGGCATTAGGGACGGTGTCTAAGCTGGATTTAAAACCAACTGACCAGTCATCCCCGCCGGTGTAAGACGACAGTGTCTATAGGAAGCAGAGGACAGCAGAGCCGTCTTTAAAGGCAGAAAGGATTCATGTAGAGGCATCAAAGTTCAGGCCATGGAAATAACACTGAAGGGGTTTCCAGTGAAAATAGTGAATATTCCATGGAGGAATAACAACCTCAGCACTCTGCATACAGATCCTCCTCTCTCTGAACAAGGAGAAACTATTGTTGGAATCTACCTGTTAGTGCTGGGTAAGTCAAAGAACACACAAACTTACTTTGCTATTCTTCAAATATTTATGTTCCCATCAAATATCAGGCTATCGCTGAGAATTTGTGGTGAGATAAAATTAAAAGGATTTAAATCCTATACTCATCAGTTCTTCCTGTTCTAAAACTCTGGACCAAACGGGGGGAAACCTGCAACTCCAATTATTTTTTTTTCTTCTCATATGATGTTTTTAATTGTTATCTACACTATTATATTAAGGTTAGACTCCTGAGTATACATTTCCAGATATATAACATGTCAGTTAAAAATAAAAATAAAATATTGCATTATAATTAGTTTAACAAGCCATTAAAAATTAGTCAGGAGGAGGATTTTCCTTTTTGAAAAATGCAAGCATACATAAAAAAACATGATTTTTTAATTAATAATATTTATTCACATAAATTGATTATAAACACTTATTTATTAGTATTGAAAAAAAGCATACAGTGTTTCATATATTGAGAATAAAATTCATCATTAATCTATGATCTACTATTTACCATTTACCTTAGAAAAAGGTACAAAATAGTATCAGTAAAGATGCTAACACTAATTCTAAATTACAGCTACCTGTGTAGTAGCTGTAATTTATTAGTATCTGAAAAATACTTTAAAAAATCCATTGCTTAAAGTATTTTCCAATGTGCTGGTTAGAAATCTAACTTTTCTTCAAATGCTAGCAGTGTCTTGAATAAAAAGCTCTTTTTAAGAAGCAGCCTTTTGCTTTCTTGGAACTGCTTCTGTTTCTGGTCCGTTTCTGTTGCTCTAATCTTCATGTATCAGCAGCTTTACTGCTCCTGAATTGGCACCGTCTGTCTCGAGGTCACTCAAAAAGACAAGGGGCTATACAAAGGCTCCATTTGGACTAGATGATGTGCCTAAAAAAAAAAATATCCTAGGATTCATGAAAACCTCCCAGGTACTAAGAAAATACAAATACATATATTTGATGTTATTGTCTCTAGGTTTTTAAATTTCAGTATTTCCTTGTTGAATCGGGTTTATATCATTATTGCAGTATATATCAGTTGATATTTTCCTGTTTGAATTTTCCCTTTTGGTGGCTTTGTCTTATATCCCAGTTCACCCTTATTCATGGTAATAGGAGAAACAATATATATGCTCATTTTGCCCCTGCTGCTTCACATTATCTCAAGACTTACTTACCTGTGTTTAATTCCCTTTTCCACTGTCCTTCATGATACACACGCTCCTCGGCTGACATAGATCCTTTTGCTGTTTCCGTTTCATTTCTGATATTTCTATCCCCACTTGGGCCCTACTCTAAACCTAGTGACACATTCAGGCACTAAATTCTAGAAATGCACAATAGTATAAAGAGCATATGGCAAATAGGACATTAATTGCAATCAAACTAGAAGAGAATGGTACATTTTTCTGGACAAGCAAGGCATTTCCTGCTTCCCATTGATCATGTGATCTTCCCTGAGTTTCTCAATGTCATAGCTTCTTCTAGGAATCATTGTGAGGTGAAGCAAACCTTGGATAGCAAAAAAAATAGATGTTGCGCCTAACAGCAAATATTAATATTTTTCATACTACATCCATAAAATTAGAGAAGCTCAGGTTTTTTTCACTATTTAAGGTTTCCAATGTGTCATCATACTACTGCATTAAAAGATTAAATTTCACCTTCAGAAATTATAATAAAAAGTAGGTGAAATCATTAATTTATTTTAAAGCTTTCCGAATCTCTAAATTATTAGAATCTGACATTTACATAAAGTGCTGCATGGCGACGCAGCATCTTCCACTGTTACCTTGCAGCAAGCAGGCCCTGGGTTCAATCCATTGTCAAGGATCTTTCTGCATGGAGTTTGCATTTTCTCCTTCTGCATGTGTAGGTTCTCTCTGGGTACTCTGACTTCCCCCCACAGTCTAAAAACGATGTTTGTGTCTCTATATTGTCCTGAGGTGTGATGTCTGTAAATGGTTGTGTGTCTCTGTGTTCATCTGCCATGACCTGGCGACCTCTCCGGGGTATAACCCATCTTTCATGCATAGACTGCTGGAGCTATCAGGCCGACTGGACCATGAAGAAAAAGCAGTGGAGAGAGGAATAATTTTTCAAGTAATACTTTGATTTAATATATTGACAGACAAGGTCACAAAAAAGACACAAAACTACACAACTCTTCCACAAATCTTTAATTGTGCATGTTTTCTTAACATGATTTTTGGTTGCATTATGGAACTACATTGTAGTCTACATTATAGAATTGTTTTGTTGTTTTTCTCTTTGCAGGATGGCTATCATGGTTTGGAAACAGTCTGGTGATCTTTGTCCTGTATCGACAGCGGGCCTTACTCCAACCAACAGATTTCTTCACCTTAAACCTTGCCATTTCTGATGCCAGCATCTCAGTGTTTGGCTACTCTAGAGGAATTGTAGAGATATTTAACATCCTAAAAGACGATGGTTTCCTGATCACATGGATCTGGACTTGTCAGGTAGAAGAAAATCGGAAGACAAATGCCAAAATATTTCAGGATTTTTCATTGTATTCAGAATTATTTCAGTTAAACAAATACAACTTTAATTTAACTAAATGCCCCCCAAAATTCTATCTTTAGATGTTCTGAGCTGCTGTTAACATTGTGTATATTTTCTATCTTTGTGCAATTCTGACTAATTCAATGCTTTACAAAACAGCAGAGGTTTTGAACGAACATGCGTGTGACTGTGTGCTTGTGTCAATGCAAGGGATTTTTAGCAATAGCCATGTAGGCTAGAGGTTAAATCTGTAATAAGATTAGCATGGCGGAGACCTTTAAATGTGCAGAACTCTTCTAGTAGTAAGTCAGCACCCAAATGGAGAATAATTAGGAGCTTATACTCTGATATTTTTGCATAGTTTTATGATTTCCTCATATTTTTTAGCACTAGGGCAATTTGCTTCCAGAAGATTTAATATCAAAACAGTTTTCTGAGTGTGAGCTGTGAAGTGCACCATTCATCCATGTGTTTTCTTATCCCCTCACGGCCAGAGCTCAAAATTAAATTGTTGTCATTCTTTCGCTTGGAATTCAAGCAGACTATTTTTTTTGCTCGAGGCTATTTCTGGTTGAAACTGCTATATCCATGCAGGAAGGTGAGGGAAAACTCCCTGAAAAATCATACTCAAGCAGGGTGTTGAAAGTTGTAGTCTTCTATCCTTATTTTACATTATCCATGGGTGGTCTGAGATGGACTGTGGTGATTTTCCAAGTAAATAAAATACTATAGTTTATACTTAAAACTTTAGAAAGAAAGAGCATGTGAACAAGCAGGTGGAAAGCAGATTAATGCAAGAAGCATGATGTGACAAGAACAAAGCCAAGCCAGATCCATGTGTTGCACCCAAGTGATCTGACTAAAGACTGCATTGCACCTTAGGACCTTGTTTGGTTAACTTTAAGCCTAACTGGACTCTGCAGAGTCAAACAGGAGTACTGAAGATTAAGTTCACAGATAATTTCTCTTTTAAATCTTCTTGTGAAAATAAAAGTTTTGCAAGAGAAGAGCTGTGTATTAAAACACAAGGGCATTTGCCATAATTTGTGTGAAACTGTGGTGACTGCAGGTAATTGGATTAGGACAAAGAAAGATCAATCAGCAAAGGACTTTAAATAAGGCGTGTCACCAGGAAGTTACCCAGCAGGGTGTCTGGTGTTGAATACTTGGACCCAACTGAGGCACCGTAACATAATGCCTTCTAAGAAGGCTTATGATTCAGAGATAATCAGTCTGAAACAATGCATAACCCAAACAGATCAGGAAAAATATCTTACACTATTGGCAGGGAATGTGAATGAATGTTGTTTTATTTCAATAATATTGTGATATAATATTGTCTAGCTATCTCCTTTTGCCTTTTTTAGTAGTTCTCAATTAAATATTCTGCACTTCTAACCTTAATGAGGGATTTACAACATACTCTTCAAAAATACATTTAAAAATGTTGCAAAAATTTTCTTTTTATGGTTCTTTTTTTAGGTTTCTGTTAGTAGCTTTGTGAATTACCATGTAAATAACAGTAATATAGGCATAATTTCCTCCCATCATAAGGTTTGCCTACTTGAATTAGCAATAGGTTAAAGACTGTTTGAGAAGGTCATTTCTTTGGTTTTAGTTATTTTTGTTTACTGTCATTTTTTTATTGCTGTTTGTACTTTTTGCTAAGTCATATTCTAGCAGTATTCAATTGCATATTCTTTTTAGTTAAGTAATAAAATTATAATTATAGATCTCAGGGAATTCTTTAACCTGAATGTTGTCAAAATATGGGTGCAATTTAGACTCAGCTCTGCAGCAGCTTCATCTTTTTTTAGATATTCCACTTAGTTGTTGCCATAATGCATGGAAAAAACATTGAAAAAAAATGCTGGAAAATATTAAATAGCATAATGGAAGTTACCGTAATTATTGTTGAAATTAGGGGATATTCTTTAACTTTACATGATACACTGAGATAAGAGACACCAAACAAGCTTGATAAACTTGGAGTTTGTTATTTTTGTGAAACAAAATCAAGAAAAATGAAGGTGAAAAAAAAATAAGATATAATAAAATTTGTCAAAAGCACCTGCAATCCAATATGGATGCCTCTAACTTCCAGACTTAAGCATAAAATCAGCCAAAATATGATAATGGAGCCATATAAGATATATTTAATCCTATCTCTGTCTCCTTTCAGGTAGATGGCTTCCTAACCTTGCTCTTTGGCCTCGTGAGCATCAATACATTGACAGTTATCAGCGTCACCAGATACATCAAGGGATGCCATCCAAAAAAAGGTCAGACCAAACTTCTCAGAGTGCAATTGTGGAAACACAAAGGAGGCTTCATACCAGCATGGCTGCCATCCTTCTCATTCCACTGACCTTATCTCACAGAAAAGTGAATTTCTGTTTTCAGCTAGTAAAATAACCACCCTACATCTCCAGGGATTCCATTTATATTTCTCCAGCATGTTATTAGAACAATTTGAGGTGGAATTTACTATTTTTGAGACTAAATCCACTGCAAAGAATGTTCTAATTACATGGAAATGAGGTTGAAAACTGTATCTGATTTGATGGTGTTGGTGGTTGTTTTTAAAACTCTGTGACTGTAAACGGTGCCCATTAGTGGTAAGTGTGGAATATCACCAGTGGCTTTATGTGCAGTAAGGTTGTCATTGAAAACAACTCATTCAGAGTTTACTAGAGCAATTCAAATGATCTAAGGTGCAAATAACCCCTGGGTCTGCATAGGGAGCTTGTGTAAAAGCTACAATTGCTCTGTTTGAGATCGTGAAGGTACACTGCATGGCAAAAGTACTTTTAAGATCTTGAACCTTTCTCCATTTCATCACAATACGACCAAACTTTTTTAACAGTGAAAATGTTTTTCAGCATTTTCATCTATTGCTTTTCTTTCTTTTTATCAGGGCGAGTAATAGTCAGCATTTCCACTTACTATATATGATCCTGTTCCATTTCTGATCTATTTTCAACAAAATAAGTCTCACATTATTATTCTCCTGTACTTTCTAATAAAAGGTTTAGAAATAATGTTAGGACTTATAATTTCAAAGTTATTGACCTATGTTTAGGATCATATTCCAACCTGTTGAAGAGGCAGAGAGATCTTTGCAGCAGTGCAACAATGCCACAAAAGCATCAGCAACTGAGTGGAGCTCTACAATGTTTGACCAGAACATCATGGAGTCCTTATGGAGACTATAGAGCAGGGGTCACCAACCTTTTTAAGGCTGAGGGCCACTTCAAGGGTACCGAGACATAGGAAGGGCGACCATTACTGAGCTATGAGCTGCAAGGGTTAGCTTTAGCCTAAACTTTGTACATTATCATCTTATTTTTAAGTTTATTTAGACATTGTCATTTTTGAAATCTCTATAAATGATTAAAAAGAAGAGCAACAGAATAAAATAGCATTTCAAACTTAGCCCACTGGTGAGCTGTTCTTTATTTAGAAGACTTTGAGGGCACCCCATGTGGTCCTTGAGGGCACCTTGGTGCCCACGGGCACCGCGTTGGTGACCCCTACTATAGAGGCTTACACACCTTTCGGTTTTTAAAACATAAAAATTTAAAGTACAATGACTGAATGAGGGGGCATGTTATTATTGTTCCTATTTTAGCTAAGTCGGCTGTAAAGTCTTATTTATTTTGCATCAAATGACAGATTATGTAGCCATGGTCATTTTAGTGGCTCTACATTTTCTTTTTTTTAATTTCTAGATAGAAATTTATGAGCAGTTCAGTTCCAATTTGCGTTAAACACACGTTTAAAGGATAGTTATCATGCAAAGTCAACTTTTTTAGCTTTTTACTATCTTACAATCCTATTCCTTAACAAAACAATACCCAAAGTGAGTATTCTAACTGATCCATGCAAGTCTAAGTAATTTTTTCCCCCCAACTTATTATTGTCATCAAACTGATAGAGAGCAACGAAATTAACTCTCTGCATTTAGCCCATCCCCTTGGGGAGCAGTGGGCTGTCATTGTGTGGCACCTGGGGAGCAGTGTGGGGTTAAGGGTCTTGCTCCGGGACCAAGAGTGGCAGTCTGTGGGAGTGTGTGGGACTTTAACTCATGAACTCTGGGACCTTAGCTCAATGCTCTAACCACTAGACCACCACTCCCCAATTAAAAGTATTGTGCCTCCTTAGCAGCAGCATTTACCTATCCTGAAATGAGTGGCCATTACTATTCTAAGACCAATGATTATCAGCTTCCTCTAGGAAACATCTACCTTTCCTGATCAGTTAGAAAAACACCCACGTTCGCTGATCAGTGAGCGTATAAGACAGTGATAATTTCTGCTCAAAGTTTAGGTGAATTGGCTCTTTAAGCACTTAATTTGCTTCTATTTTTCCAGCTAACGTCTAAGTGCATTTTTTTGGCTGTGACCCTTTGTTCAGCCTAAGTGAATAATCATCAGAAGTAGCCTGACACCATGCTGAAGCAGCTCAGGGGCATGAAATGGGTGGACCCATGAGGTGAGAGGCAGGGTCATTGTGATAGCAAGTGACCTCCTTAAGGATTGGAACATTTGTACCACAAAACAAGTAATATTCTTTAACATATAAATATTCTGCAGTACCAAAGGCAATATTTTTACCATATTTAAAGCCAGTTGTAACCTTCAAGATCAATGCCCCTGATTTATTAGACCTTTCATAATTTTATGCATCTTACATTATTTTCACAATCTCATTAGATCTAAATTCTCTGTTTTTCCAGTTTATTGTACATCTTCCCCCTATTTTTCCATTGAAAAAGCTTCCTGGCTGGAAAGTAAAATTTCTTCAAACTTGGAAACAATGTCCAATGGAATGTTTTTTTTTTTACATTTTCTTTTTTGGAATCTTCCAAATGAAAGATTAACATTCTCATGGCTGTTTCACAGATAAATCTTTTTCTAGTGCCATTCCTATTTCATGTGGTATGCTAACACAAAGTAATAATTAGAGTCCAATAATAGGGCACAAGATCAAGAAGACCAAGATTTGAATCACAGCAAAATAATCAAGATTCATTTGTGGACACTTTTAATGAAGGCTTAAAATATGGGATTTAATCTAAAATGAAGGGAACACTATATCTGAAAAGCACCAAAGAGGCCAATTGTAACTTGGAAGGAGTTGCAGAAATCCATAGCTCATGACAAGGAAAGTTTCTGTACCTGAAATTTGGCCTTTTTGGAAAAATAGCAAATGAAAGCAATGAAAATTCTTAGTTTTTATATGAATACTTGGAAGATGGTGCTATGTTAAAACGAAACCAAAATAAAATTAAACTGCTTGGGGTAAAAAAAAAAAAACATCAAACATGTTATTATAAAGAGAAAGAAAAATTAAAATGTAACAGAATCGACCCAAACTCAGGGCAATGGTTCAAGAAAACAATTCTAGAAAAGAAATTTGCAAAAATTAAAGACTCATTCCATTTCATGTGTTTACCTGCAGGAGACATGCATGAAAAGACCTCCAGCTCTACTTGCATCAAAAAGGTTTCATAACGTATGGTCTCAGACGAGAATAATAGCATGAATAATCAAAATACCCTGTTTTATATCTATTCATAAAATTTAAAATGATATTTTGTTTTGTGTCTGTCAGACAAAATCAAATACACAAAAAATAGACAAAATACACAGACGTTTGTTTTTGTTGATATGCGAATATCAAAAAGTTATATGATTTTTTTTTTAAATGCTCTATAACTTAATGTTGAATTATATTTTAGAGTTGCCAAGAAGCAGCTGACCTTTTGTAGTTTCCTCTGAAGCTTTTTTGTGTGTACAATCATTCCGACAGATGTTCTTTTCAGATGCAAAAGTTCCGTAAAGGCTGTCAATACAAGAAAGGGCTTCATTGTTCAACAAATGTCAATGAGAGCGCTGAAATTCATAACAAGGAGCAAGAATTTTCCTTCCTTCAAAGCCTCTCACTGTTTCTGTTCTGTGTTTGCCAAAATCCCAACCTTTAACCTTTTTAAACTGAAATCAATCCCCGAAGAAGGCTTAAGTCTGCATAGCTTTGTTTTGAGGTTGTCATCTGATGTTGTTGTTTATACTTTTCAGCACATTGCATCAGCATCAACACCATTGCAGTGTCGGTACTCTTCATTTGGACCGGCGCGTTGTTCTGGTCCATTGCTCCTCTGCTGGGATGGGGCAGCTACACAGGTTTGTTTAAAGACGTTTTTGTTTTGATATCATTGTGTGGTTTGGGTACCTTGCAGAGGGGAAAGATAAAAATACTCTACACAGAACTGAAAAAAATGCAGAGAGGGTGACTGGCTTTGGTAAAAAAAACAACAACAAAAAAAAAAAATGTAAAGATCCATCCTTTAGCATTGTGGACCATCTCTAATCCATAACCCAAGCCCTCTGGACATTGTTACAGAATACCAACAGAGAAGGTTTATAAGGGTCCATTTTATATCAAATTCAATCAGTATTTTGAACAAGAGCCTAAAACCATGGTATTTAGCACATTATGGTAGTTGTTTTTAATCACTTATTGGTTGCATCCGTATCATTATATTGTATTTTGTGTTCTAATGTAATGTTTTGAATTAAGAAGGTAAACCAAAAATATTTCCTCTTATGCGGACAGTTAAATTAATCAAATGTAATGTTTGGTTGGTAAGGTTTTTTATGGATAAATGACACAAAGGATTTTTGAATCTTATGTATAATTTCCTATCTCTGTAAACCTTTTCTTCTCCATTTGTTTGTGGATCAGATGGTTTCTACAAAATATGAAAAAACTAAGATCTGAGATCACACATAAAATAGCACCAAATATTTGCAACTAGTCGCCACCATTAATGGGGAAATATAAATATACTTTTAATTATCAAACACTCCCAAAATAGGAAGGAACTGATGCATGACTGGTATGAAACAACTAAAATGTTGAAAGGGGAAAATCACTTGTACCCGGGTGTTATTTATGCAACTCAAAAACAACACCAAAACCAAAACAGAGTAGAAGTTGATCTACTGTATCATAACACACCCTAACTGTGCCCATCTTCTGTTTCACAGATCGGGGTTATGGCACTTGTGAAGTGGACTGGTCCAAAGCCAATTATTCCACCATCTACAAGTCGTACATCATCTCCATCCTCATCTTTTGCTTTTTCATTCCTGTGATGGTCATGCTCTTCTCCTATATATCTATTATAAAAACCGTAAAAAGCACAAATACAATGTCTGCAGATGGGTTTCTCTCTGCACGACAAAGGAAGATGGAAAGAGATGTCACAAGGGTAGGTCCAGTGTAGAATGATTAAGTCTTGGTGTGCAGAATTTGAAGTAAAACTATTATCTTTTCTTTGTGTGTCACAATAGATTTCTATTGTAATCTGCACTGCTTTCATCATGGCCTGGTCACCATACGCAGTAGTCTCAATGTGGTCTGCCTGGGGTTTCCATGTGCCAAGCACAACCAGCATCGTCACCCGCCTCTTCTCCAAGTCTGCCAGCTTTTACAACCCCCTCATATACTTCGGCATGAGCTCCAGATTCCGCAAAGAGGTCTCACTGCTGTTTCCGTGCACTCCAGAGAGCAGGGAAGTCGTGCATCTGCAACGCTTCAAAAACATCAAACCCAAGGCTGAGAATCTGCCCCAGGCTGCGTTTCTTTCCTCCCAGATACCTGAGCCGAAATACTCTGCGGAAGAGCTGAACCCTTCCATCCCTGACAGCGACTCAGGGGTCAACAGTCCGTCTGAGACACCTCCTGAGATCTTCCACATCGATGTCCCCTCACACATTGAAACATCTGAGTACTGGTGTGACAAACTCTGAGACTGTTTTTAACCAACTGTAAAATGAGAAGAATGACTGTGTTTTTGTATTTCTTCATCTTACCCATATTCATTAACAGATGTACCCATCATTGTAATCTGTTGTGTGCTTATAAATAATTTTTGGGGTTATTATGAATTGTTTAAAGACATTTTTGAAAAGCCGATAACAAAAATAAATCTTATCAATATGCAGCATTTAGCTCACTAGTGTCCATCTATCAGGTTATAACACCCAGAGGTTGAAGAAAATAATTGTGATTCAGTAGTAAGTCTGGTGTTTCAATCCAAGCATTGAGGCAAACCTCTACGTAAGAAATCTGAGTCAAATCTCAAACACAAGTTTTGAAATTCCATGTAAAGCAGTTTGGTTTTATGAAACTAATTACGTGAACCGGGCGGGAACAATAATACTACATAAGAAACTTAAGCATGACTAGAAAAAAAACAAGACAAACATGAATGTGGAAAAATAAAGAGTCCAAAAAAGAAAAATCATGACAAGGTCGATTCAATGTGAAATGTACTGAAAGATTAATGACAACATTTGTATTGCCAATGCCACACAAAAGGGGTATTTGTTCTGTTACTTTGGGAACTCTTAATGCAGGGATTTCATGATTCACCCTTTATGACCACTTTTAAGGGTGGTTTATACTCAGACACCAGGTTGTCTGCATGTGTGCAGTGAATGCAAATGTGCTTTTGAACCTATCGCAGACACTCTGGTGCACCACTCCAAATTGTAGGTGACCACAGACAGCGCTGCAGACAGGAGGCCTCTGATTAATCAAATCTACATCTGCTCTACACTATGCGTATTTCCTGTTTGGTACCTTACCGGCTTGTTGTATTTGTATTTGCGAGGTGCGCGAGAATGCTGGGACCCTTTTTCCACCTGGATCCCCACTCTTTTTCGCCCTCATGTCCCTCCGTTGTCGCACAAACTTGCCCCCACTTCCTCACCGCCTCTGCTGTATCTAGACCCACAGCTAGTTCATGATTGTCCCTCTTGCATTGTGGTGTGGGATAACATAGCACAGACCATGCTACAATATTGTAACCTGACTCCACCAGATGGATTTGCTCCGCATATCCATCTGGAAACCTTCCTTAGAAGTAATTTTGGGAAGGGGCGAAAATACTGGTTAGCTGATTGGCCTATGTTGGTGATAGACGGGCCAAATAAACCAATCAGATCAACGAAGCATATGACGTAACAGAGCGACGACGAAGAGGAGCCAATTGATAGATCAAACTCTTGGCGAAACCAGTCGGGAGAAGAGCAAAAACATCTTTTCCTCTGAGAAAAGCCTCCAGAGCAGTGTTTTGCTCTTCTTTCAGTGAAGAAATACTCTGATAAAACTTGCTCGATAGCCACGCTAACGCTAGTTTCATCAGCTGAAGCCACCATGTTCTTTAGACTGAACTGCGTCACACCTCAACCCGCCTCAAAGCCAACGCTGATTGGACGTTCGTTTGGTGAACGTCTCCAAATTTTCTTCAACGGAGAGTCTCCAGACTGATTAGTGAGCGAAATCTTAAAAGCTCGCGAGATCAGGATGGTCTCACGAGGCTAACAATATTGGGCATAAATCCAAAATATCTACGACAAGCTCACTGCGACACACTGCTGCGGGAGGATAACCAGCCAAGCTCAGTAAAGTTTGCATCACAACGGATACATTTGTTTTCTTCGAGTCTCACCTGAAGTGGAGGTTTTTGGTAGTACCAATATCCCATGCATTCTGAAGCCCTAAAATTAGAAGTAGATTTTTAAATGTATTAAATTACATCATAAAAGTAAAAACAAAAAGATTCTTACCTGCCTAATAGGTTTCATATTTTTGATGATGCATTAGTAGGCTACTAACTCAATGAACTTTCCCATTTGCAAGTGCAAAAGTTACAAGTCTTCTGAAGTCAAAATTTTGATTAGAAAAGTGGAGGTTTCCCTTCAACTCTTGTCTCAAAGTCCAATATGGCTCCATCTGTGAAACCTGATGACTGTAAGCTGCATTTTTCGTTATCATAGTGCTTTGTAATAGCAGTTAGCCTGATGCTGTGTCTGAGTACAGTATTTAGCAAATCCCAGCTGGGTTCAAACTAGAAACTGGAAAACACTTGAGGTGACTCATCTTCCCCGAATAGAATTACTGTAAGTAACCCAAGGCATATTTATACTCCACTTAAGAAATATTATTGAATAAGCGCTTCTGGTACTTCCTAATGTAACTTTGCAAACAACTAGAGAAGCATCCCCTGGCAAATAATTAAAACTGAGACTTTCTATAAGTAACACAATAAGCAGCCAAAGAAAGGCATGACCAACATGTCTAAACCTTTCTGGAGCAACCCACCGGGTGAAATGTGGAAGCAGTAAAGTGGTGAGACATGAGATCTATGGCAACATCTGGAACCACTGAACTGTCCTTGACTTGAATGGAGTATCTGATGGTATTAAACTGTGCAGCCTGGAGGGTGCTCACAGTCAAAACTCACAAAAAATGCTTTAGAATACACAACATTCAAAGAGCTAAACTATTTCCTTTCTCCATTTGTCTCCTCGTCATGAAGGACAGCTAAAATCAGGAGGGGTGTGATTCTGTTTTCGCAGGAAATCCAGTCCAGGGAGCAGTGAGCTACAAATTTGCTCTGTTGACAACCTGTCAAGAGGATGGCAGTGGTGTAAAGGAAATGAGCAGTGCTGAACCATAGTCCACTTCCTTGAACTACTTGGAGCAGAGGGATATAATCTTGAATAAAGCCCCCCAGTGACTTCTGCAGAGACTGTAACAGTAAACACAATGAGCTCTTTTAAAGCAGTACTTCAGACTTATATGTCCGAGTTTCAGGCAAGCATCCACAACACCTCATGTGCCAACATTCTGCACAGACCAACTTTACCTCAGCATTTGGGAGTAATTTAAATCTGATATTGGGTTAGGAGAGCCAGTAGAGTTTACTACAATGGCTGCAAAACAACTCTGGACTATCCTGTTTGGTGGAAATGATCTGCAATAAGCTGCAGACATCAATTTTGAATCCAAAATCTCAAGGCTTTTATCTCTAAACCACTAACTAGCTCTCTTTCAATCATGGAAAACACCTTTTTTTCAACAAATAATTCCTGAATGATTCGGCAAAGTTGCTTCTGGGATATATTTAATATAACATTTCCTTCTGCCTTTTGAATTTCTGTTTATAATATTTTCTACTCTCTTTGCTGAGAAGCAACCCTATGAATGGTTTAAGGAAACTCGAGTGTCTGCATACAAAGTATTAAGGGTACAGCTCAAATTTTTTTCTATATAAAGATGACCAAAAGCTTTTAAAACGGGCGAAGGGTTAGGTTTGGCTTAAAGTAGCTTTTATACCTTTCCTGGCACTTGCAACCACATGCTGCCATTCCTGGGGAAGCTCTGCAGTGGTGGCAACCTAATCCCTTATCTGAAACATCTTCATGAGACAGTTCTAACCCTTGTGGGTTTTATTTGAATATTGTTTTTCAAAGCAGCTCAAAATCTTTGAAATTCTTGAAAATTTGATAAATGCCGACTAATATTGAAGTCAAAGAGGATGCAAGATGTGTACTTGGAGCAGGGGGGGATTAAATATTTGCCACACCATTTACCATACTAGACAGTTGCCAAGGGCCCCGAGTTCCTTCAGGCGCCATAAAACTCTGTATACATGTATGATTAATACAACTATTCCTTATTTGTGCACA